CAAGGTTTTTACGTGGAAAACCCGAAAGAGGGCAAAAAACCACGGGGCCTTGCCCAATTGTAAAGTTCCACTAGTATTTGTTTGAAGTACAAAAGGTTATCGGTCTTACAAATCAAGACGATCAGTTTACAATCAACTTCTCACAAAGTTACAAAGTTCTTCAACTAAATTATTTAAAGCATCTATTTTGTCTGCTTCTTAGTAGTCTTTCTTTTGTATACTTTGAGGTAATTCATTATTTCTTGAATGGATTTCCCCATCATATTGTGCAAGTCAACAATGATATACTCTTTCTTAGAGGAATACTTTGCTTTATCTGACTTGGACTATCCATAACTATTTGCACAATATGAACCAATATATCCAATAAACTTTTAATTTTTCTCTTCTCTCAGATAGAGATACTACAACTAGTGCTTTTGACAATGTACCAGGGAGGAGGAATTCCCTATTTGGAGAACTTTCTCTTCTCCAATAGTATGGGACAAAGGGTGGAATCAATATGGACTTATATAGGAGAATTAAAGAGAACCTCATGAGACTTCATAATCTAAATTGGAAGAACTTTTCTTTTATGTTTTAAGAATAATGCTTGAGCTATCTAACTTCATTTATCGATATAAGTACCAGTAAAATTAATTCTATTAATGAAAACATCCATATGCCTCTCAATTTATTTCTCAAATATCATATACAATAATCGAGAATCATATAAATATAATCTATCATTTCAATCCTTAGTACAAAAGAAAAATTAAAGATAAAAAATAGTCTAATAATAAATTTGGAGAATCCTAACTAGCCTTATACTCCTAATCCTACACCCTAATATATAATCATTTAAATCATATATAATGAGCTTAATAGTCAAGCGGTTCACAAAATCCTAAAACTAAACTCAAAGTATGGCAAAGGAGAAATATTCATTTAGTTGTCAAATTTTAGTAGTAATATTAATATGACCATGAATCAATGCAAAAATAGTAAAATGCACAAGCAATAGTATTAAAGTTTCTAATAGTAAATAGTATAGCATGAGACCAGTAAAGCAATACAGTGTAAAAACAAATAAACTAATGCATGTGTTGAATAGATAAATTACTCATAGTATTAATATTATCAATTCGTGATAATCAGTAAAGGGATCGTATAGATCAAGAAAGACTCTTACAAATCATGTCAATGTATTAAATTAGGAGCTGTAATATTATAGATTCTACTACTACTGCATGTGAGTTGTACTATTTTTGCACTGATTCTTGGTCACATGATTATCACTATCATGAATTTATTGATCACATGCATATTACTTCTTTATCATGTTTTAAATTTAGTTATAAGATTTTAGTGATTTACTGGGCTTTTTAGCTCATTATATTTAGTTTAAATGATTTTAAGTCAAGGAATAGATTCAAGAGTGTGAGACTGATTAGGATTCCTCAGGTTCTATTTCTTATTAATTTAGTTATTCGTTTATACTAATTAATTGAATAAAATGATGGGATTATATGATTATAGATTATTGTATATGATTTTTTTTTGGGTTTATATATATATATATATATTGAATTATTTCTCTGTATTATTTGCTTGCAGCACCTGTTGTATATCCAATTGACATTTTTGAGCACAATTGGATGATCGATACAATCCAACGCTTGGGAATAGATCATCACTTTCGCAAGGAAATTTCTAATGCTCTTGACTTCTTATATAGGTAATGAGTTTCTTATATGTGCACAATATATAAAGTTACAATTATTTTTTTGCCAACTAAAAGTGAATTTTTATGCTGATCAACAGAAATCTTAGGAAAGATGGTCTAGCATGGGAAAGAGATGCCATTGTTACTGACATTGATGATACCTGTATGGGGCTCAGATTATTAAGGTTACATGGCTATCCTATATCTCCTGGTGAGCCTTCTTTCACATATAGAAACTAACAAGCAGTCTTCTCTCTATCTCTCTCGCTCTCTCTCTCTCTCTCTCTCTCACACACACACACATAGTGTATGTATGTATGTATGTATTTATCAAAAAATTCTCACAATAGGTGATGATATGCAGATGTGCTGGAGTACTTCAAGGATATTGATGGTACTTTCTTATGCTATATGGGCGAGACACATAAAGGAGTTTCAGATTTCTTCAGTTTGTATCGATTCTCCCAAATCGCATTTTTGGGAGAGAAGATACTAAAACAAACAAAAATTTTCACAGAGCAACATTTGATTAAAAGCATCAAAGACAATCATGTTTATGACAAGTGGGCAATAAAGAAAGCCTTAAATAAGGAGGTTAGTTTGTGTCAATATTTTCATCTTTTCCTTCTGATCAATATAAATATGAAGCTTTAGTTCTTGATTCACTTAAGCTTTAAAATAAACAGATTGAATGGGCACTGAGAAACCCATGGAAGATGAGTCTTCCTATGCTTGAAATGCAAGAATACATAAAAAATTATGGAGATAATGATGTTTGGATTGAGAAAACTATCTTTAGGTAAAACAATCGACATCTTTGCTACTAGTTACATATACATCAGATTTTATGGTTTGTATGTTAATATTTAGGATGTATAATATCAATAATTCGAAATACTTGGAATTGGCCAAGTTAGAGTGCAACAAGCTGCAGGCCATACACACAAGAGAAGCTAAATCGATACTTCTGTGAGTTGATTTTTGCACACTATCCACAAATGCTGATGATAACGTTTTATTAAAATTCCTAATTTACTTTATGAATATCAGATGGTGGAATTCCTGTGGCTTTAATAATCTTGTTGTCACCCAATTGAACCCAAAGGAGATTCATTTCTCAATATGTGCAGCTATATATGAGCCAGAATTTTCAACCTCTAGGATTGCTTATACCAAATGTAATTGCATTGAAAGTATACTCAAAGATATTTTTCAGAGCCATGAATCCTTTGAAGAACTAAAAATATTTTGTCAAGCAATCAATGAGTAAGTAATTTATATGTATCAGTCAATATTTTATTAGGCAAAATTCATATAATGTTTTGATTAAACTTGTTTGTAGATGGAAACCTGCAATGGTGCAAGTTCTACCGAGCAAATTGAAACGAGTATTTATGGTAGCTTATGAAACCATGAATGAACAGGCAATAGGAGCTAATAATGCTCAAGGAAAAGATGTCTTTCCCTACTTACATGATTTAGTAAGATACATAAAAAGTAACTTATATAAAATAATTTATTATCAGATTTAAAATAATTCAAAGCCAAAACTTTGATTTATGTGACAGAGAAAACAACAAGTGCAACAATACCTTAAAATCAGAGAATTTAAAGACATCAAGCAATTTGAAATCTTTGAAGAATATGTAGATCAAGTTAAGAGAGGACTCGCAGTGACCATTAGATTGTTACCAGCCGTGCTTCTCATGGGAGATGTTCTGCCAGGTAATGCACTCAAAAGCTTGGTTCACAAATCAACAATTCTTGAGCAACTAGCTTCATACATTGCATTGTTGGTAAGTACTGCAGTGAAATCTTTTATTAAACTAACTATATTTTAATTGTGTGATTGCAAAAACGAAGTCATTAATTCTCATTCATTTGGCTTCAGAATCTAATGACAGAGGAAAGAAGTGCAGTTTATATGTACATGAAAGAACATAATTGCTCTGAGCAAGATGCACTATCTTACATAGAAGAAAAGATCGATGATGCATTTGTTGAATTTACGCATGAGTACCTGAAGCCCAATAAACATATTTCACATTCTTGTCGCCGACTGATCTTCGAACATGGCAGAATAATTCGATTTTCTCTCAATAAAAGAATCAATGGTCAACCTGTAGAGTCGATGGATAAAGTTTACACTCCAACACTCTAATTAACCCTATCACTTATACAAATGTGACTTGCATTTCCATTGGATTCTTCGTAATGCAGGTAAATGCTTAATTTTATCAACATAGCCTATTTTTGCCCATGAGAAAATGTACTGCAGTCATTGCTTTTCTAAACCAAATCATAGATTTTGTATAATGTACTATATAAATGGTTATAATGTGTCAATTCAATAGAGTGCACCTATTGTATAACATGCTTTAATTATCCATTTATTAAATAAGATTTTATAAGATGTATTCATATTTGCAATATAGCACTGAAGGATTGGGTTTAAAAACCCAACCGGTATGATTGATTCAATCATGAACCAGTCTTATAGCGTGTCCGATTCATCCTAAAAATCACTTTTACATCGAACTGGCCATATCTGGCTGCTAAATCGATCATGGTTCTCTTGAACCTGGTTGATTCAATTTTTAAATTTTTGGAATAATTAAATATATTATTTTAAAATATTAAGAATAAAATATTAAACAATATTTGTAATTTAATTATAAATTTAATTAATAATAATTTATACCAAACTTATAAACTGATATGTAACTTAAATTTTTGTTAAATTTGAATTGAATTTAAAGATTGAATATGTTTACATTTAAAATTATGTAAGATATTAGTAATGTATAAATTTGATTTATTTTTTTATAAATAATTATTATTTTTATATGATTTTTATTTCATCTAAATTTTATTTAGTAATTATTATATTATCTTGTTCGACAGGTTGAAGTGAACCTCTACTTCAGTTCATTGTATAGTCTGGTTTTCACAACATTGCATTTACGTTTGAATTCAATGAATAGAAAATGAATTTGTGAATGAAGGTAAATACGATAAACACTCGAAGTCTAAGGTCCACCAATGGACTTATTCGGCCAACACTAGATGGCTTTGAGTTATCTCATTTAAGATTGTGGGTTCCGTACATTCACGCCTCGACTTCTCTGCGACCCTTTCTTTTTTTCGGGTCATCGAGGAGTTTTAATGTTTAAGTTCCACGCCAAATTTTCAGAAGGCATCTTGGGTTTTGAATGAGATAATACCCAGAGATTTCGCCCTCATTTTGCGAGGACTTTATGATCTGAATTCATGTTTCCTATAAGCGCAAGCCCCTATAGTTAATTACCCCTCCCGATAATGAGTGATAACTTTTGATTAAAGATATTTATCAAATATATACATAATATACGGTGCATAGTAAAACATCTTTTTGAGGTATTTAGAAAATTGATATTTAAAATTAAAAATTCATCATCTCGTACTTAAAGTTGATGGTAGGGGGAGTGATGGTAGACTCGATCAAGATCCCATAGTTCCGTCATCCCGAGTCATCATGGTCCCCGGTCTACTTAGTCAGAGGAGGTAGTTGATCCAACTTGACAGAAAGATCCTTATTGGCAGCCATGGGTTGCTTCGTCCAATGATACCTTGTAGGCCTTAGGTGAATATTTATCTAAGAGGAAAATTTTGAATCCACCTTAGTTAACATAGGATTTTGTGCCCTATCAATCATATCATATTGATTCATTACTCAAAGATTTAAAATAGTTGGGGAATATACGAGCTCTGACTATGATCGTAATTTAATGATGCCATTTGGCGGAAAAACTACACGATTAGAGGGTTATGGTTATAATCTTTTATATGTGGTGTCATTTGGCAGTGAAACCACCAATTAGAGGATAATGAGAGAGAACTTTTTGATTAAAATTAGAAAATCATTATGGTTCATAAAAAATAATGTTATAGTACAATTAAAGCTTTATAGTGATGCTTTGAATAATCTATAATAATTTAGTTATATTTCAAATCATTATGGTTCATAAAAAATAATGTTGTAGTACAATTAAAGCTTTATAGTGATGCTTTGAATAATCTATAATAATTTAGTTATATTTCAAAACTTGGGTTACATGGGGTTTCGAAGTCTCACCATCATCTTATAGAATTTTCCCTTAAGTTTGAGGGATACTTTTATATCACAAAATAGGCCTGATGCATTCCTCCACTTCAACCATCCAACTTGAATTCTACTAATAATATTCTCATATATTTAACCATCACTTTGAAAAATATACATGAGATATCTCAAATATGTACTCTTATTAATGACTTGATCGCCCAAAGTCATAGTCCCCCCCCACTAGATCTATTACTACTAAAATTATAATCAATGCATTCGGTTATATATATACTCAAATGAAAATCTTTGGAATCTAAGGTTGACCTCCATTGTTCAAGTTTATCTTTAACTCTTTCTCTAATCTTATTGATAAGAAGAATATTATATGCAAAAAAGCATAAACTATGGTACATCCTCTTGCAAATGTATAATAATAATATCCATTTTAGAGCAAAAAGATATAGGCTTAAAGCTGATCATTGATGTAAACCAACTGAAATAGGAAAATAATATAGTGCATGGGTGGTCATCTAGGATAAATAAGAAAAGAGAATCTTTATTTGAATGAAATTTTTTTTGCATTCTTCTTTAGGTGGACAGCCAAGGATTTTGAAGGAAATTTTGAACTCAATTTCACATATTACTTGTACATTAAGTCAAGAGGGTTAACCACACAATATTGAAAGGTGGAGGGGTCTTGTATTGAAGAAAGTATTATAATCCAAGTCATGGTGGGAAAAACCATGGTGATCATGCTCCTTTCATTGACAATTGCGAACATTGATGATGGACTTCAATCTTAAAGCAATGCTCTTATCTTAACAGCATTAGAATATTGCTTTTTAATATTTCTTTCAACTTAGTGCACATGCAGATGAAGATTATGAATAAAGTGCAAATAAAAATGCAATATCAGACAATTAAGAGATTTCATGTTCACATGTTGTCGATCTCGTCGATTTCTTTTCTTGGAAAGATGCCGTCATGAACTCCTCTCCTCCTTCACACATCTTTGATCACGTTGATGCCTTCATCCGATGAGTTGAAAGGGAGAAGATGACATTATTTCATTTTACACTCTAATTATCTAAGTTAACAGTTAAGATTATTATATTTTAAAAAAATATTTATTAATTTTATTGAATCAAATAAGCTCACAAATCTAATTTTATACATCATTTCCTAATTTGTTTATCAGCATGAAGTCTATTTTTTTAGTGATTTTGTTATCAAATTAGGCTTAACTTCACATCCACCATCTTATTAATTGTATTTATATATAAATCTGATATTCTTTCAAACCCTAAAACCTTGAAATAACAGTTAAATAATTTATGAAATATATATGCCAAATAATATTTAGGATTTAACACAGTTCTAAGACTGACAATACCATATCCATAGGATTTACCAAATTAAGCCTTTATATCTAGGATTAATTATTTTGTGTAGATGCCGAACGTCCTCCAAAGATCAACTATAATGTGTCACGTCACCTCTGTACGTGCTCGGTACCGCAGTGCGGTATTGCTTAATACCGCTTGGTATCGCGGCTCGATACCGTTGATGTACGTGGCGCATTTTGATTGATCCTTGAACGTTGTTCTACATCCTGCCTTGCACAGAACAATTTCTCCATATCTAGCTAGAGCCATTGACTTAAGAGTTGAGAAATTTCTTGACAGATTAGCGCCAATAATGAACATGGCAGCCTCCGTAGTGATTGAACTCACATCCCCTCCCATCTATTCCATAAGTAGCTAGTGCCATAGAACATAGTGGTACATGCATATTATATATTATATTGTGCTAAATTCTTCAGAAACTACATGAATGAATGGAAAAGACAACATCATAGAAGATGGATTGAGCATGTTATGAGGGCATTCTACGATCTTTGATTGTCTCTTCTGTTTAATTAATATCTTCGATCTTCAGCATACTTGTACAGAAAAGTTCCCATGGCAGCCAAAATGCTTCCAGATTATGGCAATGGCTTAATTGATAGCCAAAATTCCAATCTAACAAATCAAGAACTGAATTTGCATCGTTGTATAATATTTTACTCTCATAAAAAGTTTAAAAAGAGGCCACGTTAGCCACCTTTATCGCATTAATATGGTCAAATTCAAAGTTGGTAGCAGACATGCTAAATTAATGATCTTCTGCACTTTGATGGGTTGTTCGGCCAAGTCTTTTCTTCGAATAAAAAACTTTATGAAATCTCATACAGGATAAAGTCTAAATATGTGTCAGATTTTATATGTGGACGCCCATATCTTCGGATACAAGTCCTGACATCTGAACATAATATCTAATAAAATCTTATTTTTTCCCAAAAAAAAAAAAAATCTTATTTCTCCAAGAAAACCTTTTTTATGATTTTTATGTGAAAGTCATATTGTGGAGCACTAGAGAACTATATATATATATGGCGGAACCCCCTAGTATTCAGGCCTCCCTATAGTTTATAGGAGTCTTTATATATTTGCCCCTACTAAAAAAAATAAAATACTATAATTTTTAGGTGACTGCCACCCAAGAAAAAGTATACATATTGTATGGAGGTATTATTATAAAGATTTTTAGGCAATTGCCCTCATAAACGTTTTAAAATAATATGATCTTTAGGCAATTGTAAAATACAAAGAGAAATAGTAAAGATAATCCAAAAATATCCTTATAACCAAAATTTGTTCCAAGGACGTTGCCCCCGAAAACCCCAACAAGGTCGAACCTTGTCAGGAGAAATGTGGATGTGACCTAATATGCACCAATTTGCAGATGTTGATTGCATGATCTCTTAATTATTCTATAATGTTCTCAATATAATCTTATGAAATCCTACATATTTCATTCATACAGCATGCAAGAGATATCATTTCCAACATGATTGATATGGCTATGACATATCATTACTATAACATATGATATTCATATATGCACATATCAAAATTAACTCAAATTTAAGATTTAGATTCTTATATAGACACATGTGCCCATCGGTGAATTTTTCCCTTAAAAAATTTTGGCTAAGACAAAGAAAGATTTTAGTAGATTGGCTTATGTTAATGATG